CTCCGACGCGCCAAAGTTCTGCCCGTACAGGTGCGGGTAGACGTCCGACCCAGCAGCCTCCCAGCGGAGGTTCCCCGCCGCGAAGCTCGCCAGGCGCAGCTTGAGGACCCAGAGCGACTGGTGCTCCTTGAAGAAGAGGCCCGCTGTGACGGGGACCTGTGGGTGAGATGCGCGCACGCGCACACAGTCAGCCGGTAGCCTGGCAGGGGGGTATTGGGGGCGTGCGTAAAACCACGGAGCGGCAATAGAAAATAAAGAAGATAACAGAGAATAAAGAATACAATACGAAGGAGGGTGTCTTTCTCCATACCTGGCGTGCCGTGCTGAGGTGGATGTAGCCGTCTTTGCGGTCAAGGTCAGAGAGGGGCCATTCTTGGGGGAGCGTGGCGGGAGGTGCCGAGGGGATGATCTTGTAGAGATATGTCGGCAGGGGGGAGGGGATGTCGGCAATGGACATGATGGGCTATCTGGGCAGGTTATCGTGCCGCTTGATGTTTTTGGCAGGAAGATTGCGTTTGCCGCGTGTTTTGTTGCTGTAGTGGTGGTGGCAGTAGTCATGATGAGTGGTTAACCAAACCTGACGGGGAGTGAACATCAATACGGACCAGTGACTGACTCCACACTTGAGGGGCATACTGCTGGTCCTCAAGAGCAAACAATCACCAACATCACGAAAAAAAAAAAAACCACCAGCAAAATATGTTCAAACGTGCTCTTATGTTACAAGTGACTTATTGCTACAAGAACTGAGCCCTGCGGTTTGGACCTTTGATTGCCATCACCTGACCCGACTCTTTTCGACACAGATTATCCATTGTCAGTCCTCCCTAGCCTCCAGGCAGTACTCAAGCGTCCCTCGTCGCCTGATATGAATTGATAGCGGAGGACACCGTAGCGACAGGCTGCATCGCAGACCTCGTTGCCGCCTTCGTCGTCCGAGCCTCGTTCAGCAACCCAAATGTCCCTATCCTTGCGCACACCAAACCCCTCCCTCCCCGGAGAGAAATCAGGGCTGCTGCTTCCAAGACGATGGCGTCTGCCAAGACGATGACCAGACGCCATCGCCAAGAAGATATAAGCCGAAGTGAGCCTGCCAGTCCACGGTCTCGAGACCTGAACACCGAACCCGCCCTCCCCAACGCCACGTGTGATAGGATACCTAGACACGCTGGTAGAAGAGTAGGTATGCCACCTTGTTATCTTTCACGCTCTCCTTGACCTGTTTGCCACGAGACTGCGAGGCAGCTCCGTTGGCGACGGCACTCCAGCGGTTCTTGTTTCCGTTGGTCTTGTCCACCGATGTCCACTCGCCACGATCACCGGCATCGTCATCGTTCATGGCGCCAAACCTGTTCGTCGAGATGTCGCGAGAACCTGAGGCCTGCGTCGTCGCCTTTGCAGGCTCCTCCTCACCAACCTCGGCCACGTCCTCGCTCCTGACTCGTCGAATGACTGTGTCGTCCAAGCGAATCCACTCATGCTCGTCTTGACGTCTTACATCTGCAGTGTAATGACCTCCGTTGGCATGCTTGCCATGATGGTACACAACGGCGATGAGCTTGTACTTGGGCCCCTCGCCTCCCTTGTTGCTGGCCCGCCACTGCCTGGCGAGAGCCTGCACGGGAATCTCGAGCTCGAGGGGATAGCCGACCTTCTTCCAGATCTTTGTGGTGCCGCCCTCAGCATCGAAATGGAAGCGCTTTAGGTGCAGGATGAGCACTGGAGGCAGTGTGTCGATCAGCGTCTGCTTGACAACCGTTGCGTTCTTTCCGTGTGGGGAGTTGAATCCAGAGCCCTCAAGCTTCTCATGCGCCGTCAGCCTCTTCAGAGCATCTACAACGTTCCTCACGTCGTTTGCTCCAATGTCAAGCTGTAGAGCCTGGTACGGTTCTGTCGTAATGGAGTCCTGCTTGCCAGTGACGCGCAACTCGGATCGCAACAAGCCGCCGAAGATCTGGGTGATAGGGGTCGACGAGCTGGCTCCGGACGAACGTGTCACAGCGGCACGCTGCTTGGCGCCAACTTCAAGCCAGCCGTCTGCCGTTGCGTCTGCGTTCGCCGATGCCGGCGCAGGATGAGGGGCGTTGCCAGAAGCGACGCCCATCACCTTGGCGCACTCATCATCAAGAGACTGCAGAAGAAGACCAAAGAACTCCTCGGCATCCTGCTGATGACCACGCTGCGAGTCGTCAATGAATTGACCATTTCAGGGCGAGACGAAGAGACTTACCCTCATATTCTCAAAACGCTTGTCGGGCTCGATGGCCTGGTAAATGAATTCAGGAGTAAATGAAGTTCCGTACTGTTCGAGCTCCTCGTTCTTCAGGAGCTTTCGAAGTTTGGCCACTGAGTCGCCAGAGTTGATCACCTGGAATTCCCTCATGAATAGGATCCTGCAACTCGTCAATATGGGACAGTCATGACGAAGGACTCTTCAACTTACATTGCGTCCAGGATGGGTGTTTGGCTCTTGAAACTCAAAGGGACCTTTTCGCTGATTTGGTCCAGGAAGTCGTAGAAAGGCACGCAGAAAAGAAGAACTTGAAGGACCTGACTGTGTTAGCACAGGCCATGATCACCCTTACCACTGGAAAGACCTACAGAATTCATGTAACACATGTTCCCGATATTGACCAAGCCCCTTGGCTCAACATACTTGACTTTCTCGGGGTTGCGAACACGGTATGCTCTCAGCGCCGCAGCAATTGTGTTCACGCTGTTGTCAGAAGGGAAGGTGGAGTCGAATGGCCTGTCCACATCGTCAGGAGAAGTGCCGTTAATCCCTTGACCGGCTGAGCCGTTCTGAGCGTTCCGGTTCTTGGCAGCTGCTGCGGCAGCAGCGTTTTTCGCGAACAGGGCACTCCAGCTTGACGGCGGTGCGCGTGGGGTAGACTTGCGAGCCTCCTCGCTCGGCTCTTGGGCTTTCTCCTCGGACGGGACATCAGCAGAAGGTGTCTCGCTCGGCGCGTCCTGGGCAGCGGGTTCTTTGGTAACCTCGGAGGACGCTTCGGCGCCTGTCTTGGTAGTCTTCGGGCTGCCTTTGGGAATGGCCGGAACAACGGGTACGACGGGGCGTGACGACGAAGGGGCGGGGTTCTGCGAAGTGGAAGCGCCGGAGCCGCTTGTGACAGGCCTCGTGTTCTGAGTCGTGGTCTCCGTTGAGTTATCATGAGATGTCGAAGCAGCATTGGCATGGGGAGTCGCAGGAGTCGAAGCCGCCGAAAGTGTGGATGCCGTGCCAGCTGATACCTGCGACTCGTCCGTGGTGGCGGCATCTGTAGAGGCGTGATCGGCTGACTCGCTCAGGGGACCATTGCCATCGCTGGGGAGTGTGACTCCCTTGTCGGCCGAGACTAGAGGCGCTCGCTTGCGCCGCTTGACGCGCGTGTGTTTGGGGAAATAGAGATCGGGCCGGGAAAGCCATGGAAGCTACGGGGGGGCATCAGAAGAGCTGCTCCGGATCACGAGGGCGTGCGTGGGTTATCAACATACCGGTGCTCGGAAGGGCTCCTTAGGCTCAGCGGGCTCGGGAGTGGGCTGTCGCACAGGAGGTGCAGGCGCGGCCGTTTCTGGCTGGACCAACTCCTCTTGGGCAGGGGCGAGCGCTCGCCCCTGTTCGATCTGGGATGTCGCGGGTGACGCGGAAGAGAGGGCAGACGCCTCTGCCATGATATGGGACGAGTGTGTCGAAGTGGGCGTGTGTGGCGCAATGGCAGAGGGCATGGGAGGAGGCTGGTAGGGAGTCGCGAGAGCAGGAGACTGCTGGTGCTGCCGAGGGTAAGGCTGAGGGACACTGACGCCAGCCATGGGGACAAACTGCTGCATGGCCGGAGGCGAGCGCATGTATGGCTGCTGGTAGTGCTGCATATAGGCAGTGGGCATGCCCCCGTTCTGGTACTGTGGCGGCAGCTGCTGGTAGAATTGCTGGCCGCCTGCATAGGGGTTCATGTAGTTGGGATACATGGGCGGGATGTGTTGGTGCTGCTGATGGTGTTGCTGATGATACTGCGGAACATAGGAGGGCGGCGGCGGCGGCCGTCTCCTCGAGTTTCCGTGTCCTCCATGCCCACCATGTCCGCCGTGAACAATGTGCGCGCCATGGCCAAGCACAGGGCCCATGTCGCCAGCACCGTTCACCGCTGGCGCTCCACCCCCCGACATGGGCTGCCCAGCCGGCAGATGACGATGGCTCATCCTGCCGGCGTGGGAGTCGCGTATGGGCAGTGACTGTCCACCGCGAGGACCGTCACTGCTCGGTTCGGTATCGCGCGCCGTTGATGAGAGAGATCAGACAACGGTAGCAGTTCCCAAGAAGGTGCACTTCAGGTACTTGTCGAGCTGATGTTCGGGTGCCGTCGTGGATGGCCGCGATCGGATGTCGTCGCAGGAGGTGATTATTATGCAAGATGCCCCCCCAAAGCTGACGGGTCGTGCCGCGTGCCGCCTCTGATGCTGTTGCCAAAGCTCAGAAATGACTGTGGTCACCGCGATCACCGCCGATGAGGGAACTCAAAGTATTTTCTGAATAAAAGTACTGCACGAAGGGTAAAGGAAGAGGGGGGGGGGTTGGTCGTGACAGACTGCTGCACGAGTGGGAGAGAGCAAGCGTGTCCGGGAGGGAACCGCGAGCTGGGTTGGCGGTCGAAAAATTACCGTTCGCCGGTTGGTTCAGAGCACCGGTGGAAGGAAAGTTGGAGAGCCGAGGATTAGTCAGACACGATGCGACAGGACCCCAGAGTTGACTGTGGCGCACGGACCCCTTGTTGCGTGAAGCTTCCAAGAGCCTTGTGTGACGGAGCTTCACCCCCAGCCCAGGCACTTATTACCAGGCAGAGAGACAGCTGACCACACGGTATTGTTTAGCTGCGCTTTGCTTTTTGTCACGCTAACAACTCATCTCTGACGGCAATGCCATTATGCTTAGCTAAGGGTCAAGCGTAGGCCCAATCCATCCACTGTTGCTCCTTTGGCCGTCTGTTCGCTCGTCTCGTAGTCACCACTCATTCGTCTCGGAAAACCCACCGTCCCCCTGGTCTCATAGCCTCCCTGTATCGATCCACAACCATCTGCCTCTGCCTCTTCTCTGCTTCTGCCTTCTCTGCTTCCACCTCCTGCGTGCTCGGAAACTCTGTGTTCCAGAACCCGGGAGGCGAAGCCCTTCGCGCGTACCTGTGACGGTGCTTGCCCATCTGCTCAGCCAACTCCCATGTTTTTGCTTCTACCCATAATTCCTCCTTCTCCTCTTTGGACATGCTCCATATCCTGCTGATGCCATCGCCGAGAAACCTCTCAAACAACTTCGTATCCTCCGCGACATTCCTGTTTCCGCGCTGGGCTAAAGCCAGACCGCGGAACTGCTTGCCGCAGCACGACATGTCGGTACAGCCAGGCAAGCAAGCTCGGTCGTCTTTGCCGCGGATAACTTCGGAGAAGGCGTAGTCTTGCCCATTGTTGAACCTGGGGTTCACCTTGAAATCTTCCAGACGAAGATCTGCTGCCTGTTTCAAGCGCAGCGACCCTCGAACTTGGTCTTCCTGCCTTTTGTCCTCGGCTTGCTCCACATGTCGCTGAAGGTTGGTGGCAGCCGCTCTGTTCCTGTCTTCCTTGGAGGACCGCCCTGCGCTCTCCCGTCCGAATGGCAGCTCCCGTCGCCCGGGTGCCCCGAGATGGGCAAGGGAAGTATCAGCCCCAGAACGCAGTGGCCGAGGAGCAGAACGCACGACTGTTGGCTTCTCCCCTGAGCCCGGCGTGTTCAGAAGCCTATTCAGACGACTGCCGCCTCGGGGGGTTTGTACCGAATCACGATTGGCCTGTTTCCGAACCGCTCTCTGATAAAGGTTGCCGTCCTCTGCCAAGGATCCTATTCCTTGTGTCAGCCCTTTGGTAGGAGCCTTGCCCGCAGACTTGGTTGTCAAAGGTCGCATCGTGCGCGCATTGGGGTTGATGGGCGTCAATGCTGAGGAGGGCAAAACAGTCCTCGTCGCTCGTGATTCGCCATCATCCGGTCGTATCAGAACTCCATTGTTGAGCGTCCTCGACCCGCTGGCATGTCCGGGAGCAGCTACAAGAGCATCGACGAAGAACCTGTTCTTCCGCGGCGTGCTCAGTTTTCGTCCGACCTCATCAAGGTCAAGACTGTCTTGGTGCAGTCCTAGGTTCTGACCTGAATCGGCAATAGAACTAGATCGCGAGAACTCGGTCTTGACACGACGCGAAGGCGGCTCCTCCGTTGTGGCCACACTCTTTCGCTTTGCCACTGCTCGCTCCATCACAAGTATCGGACCGTCTGACGAAGGTTCGACTTTAATCTTCAAGGTCTTGACAGAATCAGCTGGGCGTGGCAAAGGCGGCAGCTCCGCCTCAGCACAGATTGGAGCAAAGTTCGGGAATTCTTCTTCAGCGGGGGACGCCTTCGCGGAGGTCGTGGAGCGGGACAGTGGTGGGATTGCTCGGGCAACACTGAGCTCTCTTGAGCCCGTATCCGCTCCAGGATCTGAAGAAAAGCTGACACTAGCGGTCGCATCGATAGGCGGAGCGCTGGGCGGTACATGACTGGAGGCTCTGGTGGTCAGTCTACTCGACTCGAAAGCAAGCGCATCATCGCCGTCGTCGTCGTCGTGTACAGCCATGGTGGCCCTATGAACCTGGTGCTGTAACGCCTCGATCTTCGCTTCTAGCTGAGTGACGTGCCCTTCGCGACGGCTAAGCTCGTCCTTCTTCTTGTTATATGCCGACATCAGCCGCCTGTAGTTCGAATCGAGGGCATCAAACTTCTTCTGCAATTGATGGCTCTTTACAAGCAGAGACCTTCTCGACTCCGAGGCTTCGATGGGCAGCTTTGATGGCGTGTCCAAAGTAGCCATGGGCGATTCGCTTCGCGGATTGGGCGTAATGCTTGCCATCGTGGGTCGAGGCGCGACATCTCTGGGAACTCTGCTGGCAGGTGTGGACTCTGTCTGATACTGCAGCAAGCTGGCACGAAGATGGCGGTTTTCTGCCTCAAGGCGATCGACAGTCGCGGAGCGCTGCTTCAGCAACTCGAGCTCTTCGTCGAGTCCATTCTTGCGCCTTCGTTCTTGCTCATTAAGCTCTGTAACAATCATCATCAGCCAGTCGGAATTGAAAGCTGTGTGGTCGGGACCGCTCACCAGCCCGAAGATCCGTATCGATCTGGTTACACGCAGCTGTCAAGGCCTCCAAAATGGCAGGACGGCCTTTCTCGAACCAGCTCGCCATGATTGCGCCTACCTCGTCGTGTTGGGCTGTCAGCAGGTCGTCCAACAAATCGAGGCGTGCTGCACACACCAGGCCTGGGGCGCGATGCACACACGCAATGGAGGGAGCTCTGACGCGTTGAGGCGAACCGTGGCGCGCCACATCACGTGGATCATGGACACCCCACCCACCGTGACTGACAGCCTGTGACAGGTTCACCTCAGCCTCTCTCAATGCGTTGCTGTAACAGAATCATCTCCAATTGTCACATCTTTCACTTTATCAACACGCAGCTTGGTTATGTCAATCTACCATTCGGCACACCAAAAGCCTTCTCTTTCGAATCAAGGCCTCTAAACCCTGACGTTGAAGCACGGTCAAGGTCTTCCAAGATCCTTCGAGGAGAGGTCGACAGGTGGCCCAGGTGCCCCACCAAGCGCACCCCGCGTTCACGGGCCCCTCACCAACCTGGGCAGAGACCGAGTCCAATAAATGCTGATGGGTCCTACGCGTGCCGCTAAGCCATTCACGAGACTACAGGGCTGCTTTCGACCAGGTGATGCTTTGCTTGGGAAATGCATTGGTGGTTATTCGTGATCGGACAATGTCCATAGAGCACGTTTCGTACGATGGATCACAAGAGAACGGCGGTGCTAGCGGGTAAGGACCCTAGTTTTACCACTTGGCCGGGCTGGTTTCGTGTTCAGCCGCATGTCTCTGTCTGGGGTTTGCCCTCGCAACCGTTAAAATGGCCAGCGAAAAGTCAAAAGCCATATTCATCATGTGGAGGCTTCTCCGCCGTTGCCGATTGGTTCTTCAAGTCAATCGTGCTGATGGCAACATTTCGGACAGACTCGACGCTGCTGGGAAGCTTGACTGATTATACCATTGACAGTAGCCACTGATTTGGATCAACATGATACGTGGCGCATGTGATCTGAAATAGCATGTCTACTAGTCTCTTTCCATAGTTGGTTGTCAGAGATCATCATCAGTAAAGGGTTGAGGGCTTCCCGAGCTCATGCTGCGACGCAGGCTGTCACTGGGTCTTCACTGGGCCTTCACCGCAAATGGCGGGGCAGACCAGTGCCGTGTTCTCGTACTGCCACTGTCTCTTGTGGCAAACTGGTGGCGGTTTGATGGGTCTTGGTGCAGAAGGGGGCGAAAACGGACAGTGTGAGGTCACACTTCTGCAAGGGACCAGCTGGGCTCCAGTCTGTTCATCCCAGTGCAAGCGAGAACGAGGGCTAGAGGAGCCCCTCGGCGATTTTGAGAACGCTGTACCGCGGCGCATCACACGGCGCGTGGACAAGGAAGGCGGGCTGCCCGCCCAGACCTGCCAGGATACCCCACTACAGACTAAATCTCTGTTTTTTTCCTACAAAGGACTGCCCGATCTCACTTTTCCCGCCTGACCACTTCATCTCCCGATCCTGTTGAACGTCTGAGAAGCAAGATACCCAAGAGTACGATCAATTCATCGAGTCGTTCTCTACATCCTACACCCTCATACTCAACCCACCTGTAAGTGGACTTCTTGCTACCATGTTCCTGTCTCGTCACCTGGCCCCAGTATCCTTTGATACAGGCATTATCGATCAGATCTGATCAAGATCTCTTCTCTACGACCCCCCGCCAGTTTGTTCCTCTGCCCTCGCCCGCCTCACTACAACTACTGGAACATCCCAAAACGTTGCGTTCGCGGTCACGTACTGCATTGCGTTGGACAAGCACGTCGACATGCCTGGATCGCGGATACTGGCGTCCAGTGCACCTGCCCTGCCATGTCAGCCAATGTTTTTCTCTCACCCCACCAGGCAAGGCATGGGAAGCAGCCTCCAGGAACTGATCCACAAGGCGGTCTGAAGAGACTCAGGAAATTCCTGTCGCTTCACGCCGCACCTGCTGCCACTTCACCTGCTACTGCCGTCCTGTGCATGCAACTGCTTTCTCGCTCCTGCCACATTATTTCCGCTTGCCTATGCCATTTTCTTCCTATCTCAGCCTCTTTCCTTGCCGCACCATCACCCACCAACTTTTTCTCTCTCACACTCAAAACCATCATAACCCCCTCATAAACCATCTCGCCGTTCTTTACTCAAGTCACGGGCATCGGGTTTCCTCTCCACTTTCTTTCACAGTCACCAGCCACTCCTAAGTATGTCGGATGACGATCGCCAAATCTTTCCCACCTCTTTCGTTCATGTAGGGAAGCGTGCTGGATGCTGCCTGGTTCAAGTGATTCAAGCCGCGGACTGTCACAAAATCTCAACATGATCGCCTCCACAAAGACCTTTGGGCCAGAACAGTTGCTCGCTCGTATCCGACGCGAGTCAATATGCGGTCGTCACACGCTTTGGGTTCCCTCCTGCGGCTATCATTGTCTTGCTCGGCGACAATTCTTCCTCGATAACGGCCGCTGACTTTGATCTCAGAATCAAACACCTCAACAATCTTCACAATGGATTACCAGGGTTCTGCTCCCGCTCCCCGCACCTGCTACACCTGTAAGTTCCAGCACGATATAATTCCTGAAGAAGTTGTAGACACTAATGGTCCTTTCAGGCGGTGTCGTTGGCCACCAGGTATGACCACAGACGACCTTGGGAACTGACATGACCATCCACTAACCTCTACAAGGCCCGCGAGTGCCCCCAGAAGGGTCCCGCTAAGTGGTGAGTCGCCTTCAACGACATGCCCGCTGCTAGTTGCTCACCATGAATAGCTACAACTGCGGCAACGAGGGCCACCTGAGCCGTGAGTGCCCTGACGGCCCCAAGGACAACAAGTCCTGCTACCGCTGCGGCCAGCCCGGCCACATCAGCCGTGACTGCCCCCAGTCCGGTGGCTCCATGGGTGGCGGCGGCGGCGGTGGCGGTGAGTGCTACAAGGTATGTTTTCTGTCTTCCTCACGCCGCGACCCATCCGTGCTAACACGCTGTCCAGTGCGGTGAGCTCGGCCACATGGCCCGCCAGTGCCCCAAGGCCGGCGGTGGTTTCGGCGGCGGCTACGGCGGCGGTGCTGGTGGCTACTCTGGTGGCGGCGGCTACGGTGCTCCCAAGACCTGCTACTCGTGCGGCGGCTTCGGTCACATGTCTCGTAGGTTCAGTGCTTTCTTATCTATGAAAGTGTTCGCTGACCCAGGATAGGTGACTGCACCAACGGCTCCAAGTGCTACAACTGCGGCGAGAACGGCCACTTCTCTCGTGACTGCCCCAAGGGCGGTGAGGGTGGTGACAAGATCTGCTACAAGTGCCAGCAGCCCGGCCACATCCAGTCCCAGTGCCCTTCCGCTTAAGGGACTGAGACTTGTCGGTGAAGAGTCAACTTCTGTCCGGAATGGACGGCAAGAATGAATGCTCGTTGTGAAAGCCATTGCTATGGCTTCGCCGCGACACGGACTCGAGTTCTCCGACGAGCGCTGTTTGTTTTGACAGCTATGTATACTGGTCTTCCCCTCTTTCGACGACCACACGGCACACGGTAAACGATATCGGCACAAACGGAAAAGTTTTTCTTGTCTCAGAAAAGCATGAATCACGGACTTCTTTCTCACGCACAACATGATACCTCTCGCGCTCGATTACGATGCATCTTGGCTATCGGCCCAAGATGACCGAATCGTTGGATGATGATGGCACGAACGAAACGGGGACGCTTGCGGGTGGATCGTTTTCGAAACTCGCTTTCGACTCTGGTGGATTCGGACCTGGGCGGACATGGCGGTTGGGGGAGTGGCAGAGCTCGCTGCTGCTTTCTTGGCGGTGGATGATCCCAGACGGTGGTTCCCGTCAGGATCAAGACAGGGAATGCGAAGTCTGCGTTGCACAATTGTGATGTCGTTGTTGGTGATTGTCTCTGGTGATGCTGTACGTTGCAGGCGAGGTCCGCCTCGGTAAGCATACCCCCCTCTTCCCTCGTCTGGGTGGATTTGTATGATGTGACGGCACTGATCCTCCTCACAGCGGGGGTGTGGGAAGCACTGCTGCCGTCGATACCACTCTGGCTTACGTGGATCATTTTGCATGGTGTTCAGGCCAGCACGCGTGCCCGAGTATTGAACAGCTTCACAGAAATCGCCCTGTTTCTCCCGCGACAAGAAGCCTCAACCTTAGGGCTAATGAAGCAACAAAATCACCACGACTCGAGCACATCAACATTTCAGCCATGACAAGTTGTAACAAATTCGCTATTTGGCCATGGGCATGATCTACCCAACAATGTCTTGTACAGGATTTTCTCCGAGCCCTCAGCCAACACTTACAGCCTCTCCTTGGGCATGTGCCGCAAAGCCTGTCTCACACCCAAGTCGCCGAGCACCTCCTCAGCGCCTCCCAGGATGGCGTCGAACTTGACGCCCCTGTTGAAGCCCTCAATAATACGGCCCATACCGGTCCTTGTCAGGCCACGACCACCCCAGATCTGGACGGCCTCGTCGGCAATCTCATGGGCGGCGCGTGTTGTAGACATTTTGAGGAGACCAATGGGACCGCCGAGATGCTTGGATTGCTCCTTGTAGGGCATGTTGCACATCTGGTACGTGATGGTCTCGAGCCAGGACTGGTTGGCCTCGGTGAGGGCGATCATCTTAGCAAGCTTCTGCCTGATAACGGGCTGCTCGATGAGACGCTTGCCAAAAACGAGTCGCTGGTTAGCCCACTTGAGGGACTCCTCGACGACGAGCCTGCAGTTGCGGACCGTGGCGCCTATTCTTGGTCAGTATTCAAAAGACCACAGCTTAGGGGCAGGGGTTCCGCGGGTGCGACTCACTGGCCATGTTCCACCTCTCGTGGTTAAAGTTGCTCAGCACAACGTGGATGCCATTGTTCTCCGCGCCCAACAGATTCTCCACAGGCACCTTCACGTCATCGTACGTGATGTATGCCGTGCCTGCTGTTGTGGAGTAGCTCGTCTTGATCTGCTTGGCCTCGACGCCCTCTCCGTGCTCGACCAACAAGACGCTCAGGCCCTTTTCGGTACGTACCGCGACCACAGAATAATCAGAAAAGACACCATTTGTAATCCACTTCTTCGTGCCGTTCACTATGTAGTGCTTGCCGTCTGCCGTCTTCTGAGCTGTCGTACGGATACCAGCAACATCACTGCCAGCGAAGGCCTCTGTGATGGCCAGGCAAATCTTCTTCTTGCCGCTGAAGACCTCCTTGGAAATCCTGTCGCGGAGCTCGGGCTTGGCGAAGTTGAGCACAACAGTGAGACCAATGGTCATGCCGGCCATGTTACCGTCCTGGAAGCCACGGGCGCCTGTGCGGGACAGCTCCTGGCTGACAATCATGTCGTGAAAGTAGTCAAACTCCTTGCCGTCGACGACGCCCCCGAGCAGCTCGACGCCGTGAAGGTGGGGGCCGGGACCGAGACGCATGTGCAGGACGCCGGCGGCGGACATGCGGTCGATGAGGGCCTGGGAGATGTACTCGCCAGAGTCCTCGCACTCGCGGGCCTCGGGGGTGACGTAGCGGTCGGTGAACTCACGCATGGCGCGCTGCAGGCGGCGGTGGCTATCGTTGAAGTAGGGCGAGCGGAAGGCCGGGGTCAGCCAGAGGGGCTCGGCGTAGGGGACCTGGGAGAGTTCTCCGGGGCCGGGCTGGACGACCTGCGGGGCCTCGCCGGCGACGGTGCCGATGAGGAGGGTCTTGTCGTACTTTGTGAGGACTTCGTGGCGGTGCAGGTTGTAAAAGTCGGCCGTGGCATCCTTGCCGGCGACCTGGAGGAGGACGGCTGCGCCACCGGGGTGGGCATCAAGGAAGTCGGTCAGGTCGTAGACCTTGGAATCGATAATGGTCCACAGGGCGTCGCTGTGGTTGTTCTTGGCCACATCGTCGCGCGAGTAGGTTTCGGTGGGGGGTGAGGGAGCCATGTTTGACGGTGTTGTGTTTGGTTGGGACGGGGAGTTTGGAAGGAAGTTCAAACTGCGGCGAAGCTGCACAAGACGGAGAAACGCGGTAGGGACGCAAGAAACGGAAGTGATGGGTATTTAAAACGAACCAGGCCCTCGGCCGTGTTAGGTTTCGGGACTTCTGGACAGGGAGGACCGGCGAGGGCCGAGTCCGCGCGTGAGCGAGCCTCGGCATGTCTGGAGAATGGAGAGAGCACTGGCCATGCTGAGAATAAGGGATTGGTGATTGGATGAGCCCACCTGAGCACTCCACCGAAGCGGGCATGGGGCAAATAAGACAGCGGGCTCGCAAGTAGTTGCTTCACGTGGTGTGTGTTCGTGTGTGTGGAGGCTGGAACCAACGTACACCTCATGTCACGCTGGTAAACCTTCCGGCGGACGCATGGCACACTTGTACGCGTAGCACTGTCATGGCCGCGGCGTTCGAGAGGCTCATGGTGCGGTTGGCATGGGTTTTGAACACGCATCCGGAGCAGATCGAATGCCTCACCAATCTGAGGTACCTACCTACCTTACCTAGGTAGGCACTGTAGGTCCTTGAGCACCCCGCAGCTAGCCGAGACCCCGCAGCCAGCCAGCCCTTTTGCGGTTTTGCGGGGGGGATTATCCGCTGGCCCTGGTTTCTCCAGTTCTTGGCAGCAGCGTGTCCTCCTTCTCAACACCCATGCCGTGGCTTGGCCAAACCAAGCAGGTCATGGTTGGTGATGTAGGCGCCTCTGCTTCACGACCCTGTCCGATCTTTGCCCTGTCACGGAAACGCATGAAGAAACTTCGCCCATTTATTCGCCATACTACGTTGTAAGCGGGCGTTTTCTTCTTCTTTCAGGTCATTTGATCCATATGCTTTGTTCAGTGCCCAGTTGCGTACCCATGGTTTTCGCATACGTTTTTGAATGCTTCACGATGACCGCGAAACCTCCCTTTGACCACATGGACTCACCGAGGAGTACCATACGCCTTGATCACCCCGTTTCATGGCAGTGGACAATGGTTCGTGGGGTGGCTGACCATCTTGTCCTATGGCCACGTGCTGTGCCTGTTCCTTGCGGTTGGCATTGGTTCCAGTGCATCCAGTGCGTCAGCTGCTGGCTATCGGGCTCATTACTCCCATTGTGACCTAGAAACCTATCTCAGTCTTGTCATAGATGCATGGCACCTCAGCCTGGTCAGTCACTGTGAGTAATATTGTCATTCTAGCAGGATGTAGGTTGCAGGCATCACCCCCTTTGCGGCAATACGGCGTACTGAGTTCTGTCCAGCCGGACGACCGTCAGTCGCCCCAGTTTGCGGAAGTTTGCATATTTTGTGAGACCAGAATACCACGCCGGGCCCTTCTTCCTCTGCCTCGTGCATGCAAAACTACTGTATCACAGAACAATTACGATCTCTCCCAAATCACCCTTGTATTACCAGAGATTAGACAAAACACAACGCCAATTTGGATGCTTACTCCATGTCCTGCACCAGTACTACCTATCGCGCCTCATCTGGGACTTTCCTGGATCTTTCACTCGCAAAGCCTCGTGAAAACCGACCATTCGCACGCTCTCCAACCGCTCGTCATGGGAAAATCAGGTGTCGTCAGTACTCTCAACCTCTGTATTTAAACAGCAGAACCATTGACTCGTAAAGAAGGCTCCATGCGAGGTCAACGAACCGAAGAAACCTCTCCACGTAGCCGTCATAGGTGCGGGACTCGCCGGTCTGCGATGCGCCGACGTCCTCCTGCAGCATGGATTCCGGGTCACGCTCATCGAAGGCCGAGACCGGCTTGGAGGCCGTGTCGCCCAGGAGCGGCTACCCAACGGCCACTTGGTCGATCTGGGCCCGAACTGGATCCATGGAACCGACGACAACCCCATCCTTGATCTGGCCAAAGCTAGCGGCACAGCTGTCGGTACCTGGGATGAAAGCTCCCACATGTTTGACGAAAATGGAAACCTGTTTGCAAGGCAGGAGAGCGAGCGATATTCTCAAATCATGTGGAAGATAATCCAGGAGGCCTTTGAGTATTCCAATACACGCTGCCCTGACATTCCTGCCGAGCAAAGTCTTCTTGACTTCTTTCGTCGCAAACTTCCAGAACACATACCTGACGCGGAACCGGATCACCTCAACGCCCGCGCAATCGTGTTGCAGTTGGCCGAGTCCTGGGGCGCCTTCGTGGGTAGTCCAGTGTCCACCCAGAGCCTCAGGTTCTTCTGGCTCGAGGAGTGCATCGATGGCGGTGGGTACCATAATGAAGAGCAGGAACATGACATTGCAAGACTGACCATCGCCACAGAAACCTTGTTCTGCGCCGACACATATCGTAAGATATTGAAAACGGTCGCGAGACCTGCCCAAGAGAAAGCGACCATCATGTTGGGCACCAAGATCACCAGGTTTGATATACGGACGTCGGGCAGCTCAAGGCCTCGGGTCCATACAGAGGAAGGCCAAACCCTCGAATTCGATGAAGTGGTCTGCACAGCTCCACTAGGGTGGCTGAAGAAGAACCTGGGTGCCTTTCACCCCTTGCTACCAGGTCGTCTCCAACAAAGTATTGCAGCCATAGGCTATGGGTGCTTGGAGAAAGTAAGTAGAACGGGGGTAGGCAGTAGACTCTCCCGCCTTTGGAGCTGACACAATGGTAGGTGTACATTAGTTTTCCTCAGCCGTTCTGGTTGACCCCTGATAAGACCGGGCGTGTTTTGCAAGGCTTCGGCCAGTGGCTCACCCCAAAGTATGCACTGGAGTCCAACCCGACACGTTGGAGCCAGGAGGCTGTTGAACTCGCTTCGCCAAGTCTTGGAACCTCGCATCCAACGCTCCTCTTCTACATCTTTGGCAACGAGTCTCGGTTCATCACGCAGCAGGTCGGTAGTTTGGAGACGAAGCAAACACGCGACGATTTTCTTCGGAGCTTCTTCAAACCATACTACTCTCGATTGCCTCAGTATGACGAGTCGTCTGCAGATTGCTTACCGACTGCCTTCCTATCGACGGATTGGCTCCATGATGATCTCGCAGGGAACGGCAGCTACTGCAACTTCCAGACGGGCCTCGCGCGGGGTGACGACGATATTCGGGCCATGCGTGAGGGGCTTCCCGAAGCCGGTTTGTGGCTTGCAGGGGAGCATACGGCGCCGTTTGTCGCCCTGGGCACAGCGACGGGGGCATACTGGAGTGGCGAGAATGTCGGGCGAAGAATAGCAAGGATGCACGGGCGAGACCCACGAGCGTAGCGAAACTGTCAAGGCAGCACCATAGGGGCTCATCGTACCCATCGAAGTTCCGTTCCGTTAATTTCGCCATGTAGAACAACAGGGAGACGCTAGAAATAAATTTCGGGACAAATGTCTGGTAAACAGTCGTGTGGGTAATCTTTCGGTGGAGTGCTCTGTCGACTGTGTGGTGTTGGCCGAAGTCGCTTCTGGTGACATTTAGGTAGGTACCTACCTAGGCACCTACTACAGCCGCATGTAAGGCCCCATGCCAGGACCACTTGAGGCCAACTTGGCTTGTAACCAAAGTCAGACGGACATGAGCCCAGTCCCATATATGGTAGATAGTCAAGTGGTGTAGTGTTAGGATTGTTGTCAAGTGACTTCGAGACATGACTGGTAGCGGGCCAGGGGGAGCCAGCATGAAGAGCGCGGCCAAGGGAGTCACGAGCTCATATGCTCCTACCGACTGACTGGCCTGAGTGTCTTGTGGGGCGCTACTTGGGTGGCAGGATGTCACCGTCACGGCCTAGCGACCCCCAGACACAGCACGGACCATGGGTCCTGAGGCCCTGGGGGTATCCGTCATTGTCCGGAGTTGCCTTTGGTCTCCTCGACCCAAACCCTCTCTACTACTTCTGTTCTACTCCTAAACCTATTGACATACCGGCCTCGCTTTTCTGCTACGCCGATGTAGCGATCGAGGGGAAAGAGCTGTGCCATTTGACGTCCATTTTCTCCCTGACTCTGCGAAGACATTGCGCCCCAAATGACGACGAGCACACCATGACCTGTGACCCCCGCTCTCGGCCGCGGGTCAACTGATAACAACACCACTGGCTGTTGCCACTGGGACAGCTAAGGGAGCCTGTGTCTGTCACGACAGCCTCGCTTTTTCCGCAAGACCTACCGCATCTGCTATCTGCCCTTCTGTTTAAGCTTTTGCCGCTCTTGCGGGTTGGCCTGAGGTGGCAACGACTGGGCGACAGCAACCTTGACGGCACCACATCGTCTAGGCTCAACCCCGCCAAAACCCGACCAAGAGATCTATCTACCTCTCCCCCTCCCTCCGGCACAACTTCGTAGACCATCCGGAAAAGCCATCCACGTTGAAATATGGCGTCTTTCTTCCAGAGCTTCAGGAGCTCGACCATGCCGAAGCGGCTGCTGCGGTATGCCCTGTCGAAGCTCGAGCTTCTGGAAGAGGAGACGCTCGACATCGAGAACTTGGAGTTCGCCCTAGGCCGGAACACTGTCTTCGAGTTCAAAGATGTCGGCATGAGACTCAAGGTACGCACAACTTCTCCAGTCCCTCACCACCGCCCACGGCGCAAGACTGACATGCTCGGCCTGTAGAAACTCGAACGCCTGCTGAACCTCCCTCCCGCCTTCCAGCTCCAACGAGCCAAGGTTCTCAAGCTGACGGTGACCATTCCTATGGACTTCTATACGAGCCCAATAAGCATCGAGATCGACGGTGTCGACATCCGTCTCAGTGTTGTTGGAGGCGACGAAGATAAGAATAAAGAGAGGGCGGCCAGGAAGACGCGCGGCGGCCCGGACGTTGTGCCAGATACCCTTGATCTCGCAGCTTCGTTTCTCGAGACGCAACCACTGGTAGAGAAGAGGAAGCTCGAGGAAGCTCTGGCATCCGAGACCCAAGATCTTGGAGCTTCGGTTGCCACGGCGGATAACTTCGCAAGCGAGGAAGACGAGCCAGGCTTTGGCACCGGCCAAGCACTCTCGCTCCCATTTTTCCTGGCAGATTTCCTCCAAGGCATCATTGACCGCACCCAAATCCAGATTAGGGGCGTAATCTTCCAGCTCGATGTCGAAGTCCCTTCCGACGACAGCACATCCGCTTCTGATATCGTGGCGTTTCAGATCGCCCTCGATCAGATTGATGTCGAGGGAGTGACGGCGGAGCTTAGCAATAACCAGGACGATCCTCTGATCCAACCCAAGGAGGGTAAACGCCATATCGCCCTGTCCCGCATACGAGCCTACCTCATCTCGGAAGCCAATGTGTTCTCGAGCTTCTCTCGGTCCCCATCGATGACATCGCCTGCCATTTCTCAAGCGCCATCTTTCTCCGAGCGCGCCACGCCGTCACCACCCCCGCCATCGCTTCAGGCGACCAATCTGCGACACAGCAGTCACGTCGATAATTTGGCCGTTCACCCCAGCATGCATCATAACGACGCGATGGAAGACTCCGTCGAGCTGAACGAAATTGACGAGGCTCTCTTACGTGACAGCGAGGATGCGCTGCAAATACCGTATGACTTGGCAGATGAGCCTGGACCAGAGGACGAGAATACACACACACCACGAGCCTCGATTTACGAAGATTTCCCGGGATCACACGCCGACAGTTATATTGCATCGAAGCCTAGCGACAACGCTCATGGCGTGGAATGGGGTGAGTGGTCGTCGGAGCCGCCGCCAGACTTGCTCGAGGAAGCGCTGTCAAGTCCACTCCAGAGCTCTCCTCATGTTCCAACCGACGCGCAACAAAGAAGTGACAGTCCAACAGGACTGGCTGCGGCTGAGCCCTCGGAAGACGATGACCTGGCTAGGTCACAGCTCTTCACTCACGAGGAAGCTGAGAGTATGTACATGAGTGCGTTTTCACAGGCCGAGTCGAAGCAAATACCCTCCCAACAACTCCCATCATATTTGCCTGGTGACGCGGGGTTGAGCCCAGTGTCATCGCCGGGCTTGAAGAAAGATGAGCCTGGCACCCGAGTCACACTGGAATATGATGCCGTCCATCCGCCTGATGCTACAGATAGCACCCTTGGAACATCCGAGTTGCTTACTGCATATGAAGCACCAATATCTGCACAGCTGGAGGATCAGGAAAATCTCGAAATTACTGAGGATGAATCAGCCCCCGATCCTGCTGCCTTTTTCAGCGGACCATCAGGTCTGGTGCAGGAAGATATTCCAACTCCGCGCGGCCCAACGAGACTGGTCAAGGAGATAGTTTCTCTTGCGCTCATATCAATATATGTGCCTTCAATGCACAAACATATACATGTACAGCCGGCCCCTCAAGTCGAACGTACAGCGTCACCAAGACTGGCACGATCTATTGCGCCGCAAGTGCCTGGGGCATTCTCGGTATACTCCACCTCTCCGATCATGGATGCCAGTGAGGCACCGCAGACTCACACACCCAAGCCGCCTGAATCACACGCCGATGATTCTTTCGAGGTCAACCTATCTCCAATTGACGTGAGATTTGACGCTTCACTGGCTTTCCTGCTGGCTACCGTCGTCGGCAAGTTGTTAGAAGCTGTCCGTGGAGGACCAGCTCTCAGTCGAGTTGACGAGCCTCAGAAGGTGCAAGAAAAATCAACAAACAAATCCACCGTGAAGGTCGCCGTCGAAAAAATATCTCTTGTGTTTCTTAACCAGTTGGGCGGGGTTGCGGACACTGCAGAACGAGTTCTTGGATCAGGGGATCTACATCTGCAACCGGAGACTCTTCTTCAAAGCGTCTTGGAAAGACTCTCCATCTCTATCGAAAGCTCTGGTTCGACAACGGAGACGAGTATAGATCTCGAGAAATTTCGGCTGGGCTATGCTACCGACGACATCCTTTCGTTTGATCAGAGCCTGCAGATGCGTATATCTGTCATGGATAAATTTCCTTCTCCGGGGGCGGATGTCTCCTTGAAGCTCATCCAGACGCTTGACTCGATACGAACTGAAATTACTACCCTTCCTTTGCTTGTACAGCTCGACTTGCGGAGGCTGGATGAAACTTTCAGCTGGTTCGGAGGACTAAGCAGTTTCCTGCACATGAGCTCTTCCATGACAGCAAGTTCTTCGCCGTCCAGCAAAAGTCAGATCCAGTCGCCATCGAGGCCCAGAGGCGTTCATTTCGACACCCCTATCAACCCGGATGACAAGTCTGCTTCCTCTCTAAACAAGATTGACATGAGAGTTGGCGGCTTCAATCTTGAGCTCCGTGGCAAGGAATGCAGTGTTGGCCTTGAGACGAGCGCTATCAAGATGGTCAGTAGGGCATCCGGCATGGGTTTCGCCATCAGCAAAGCACGCCTCGCCGGCCCGTATCTGAAAAACAGTTGGCGTGATCCTCCGATCATGGTGACACTGGGAAGTCTTCGCTTCGACTACCAAAACTCGCCTACTGCCCAGGATCTGGAGCGGCTGCTTGAGCTCATCATACCGTCAAAAGCCAAGTTCGACCAAGGAGATAATGAGATCATGGTCGATACCCTGCTGAGACAGAGGCGAAAAGGCGCTGTTCTACGAATTAACTTGGAGCAATTCGACATCAAAGTCAGCCATTTATTGCACCTTCAATGCGTGCCTGGCTTGGGCGAGGAACTGGCACGCCTGGCAATCGTTGCAAAATACCTACCAGAAGATGACAGGCCTGGTCTATTGACATTAGGAAAGATCATGGACGCCCGCGCGAGTTTCGACCTTGGTGGTCAGGTTGGTCTCGTTACGGCCAACCTGAAAGAATTCGAAGCCGCACAGATAACTATCCCGTCGCTGATAGCTTTCGGGATTGGATCAGTGTCGGTCAGGAGAAACGACGGCGAGGACCTCGTCAGTTCACCTAGTGCTGCTCAGCTAACAAGCCCTGTGCTCATGGTGCGCATGGTTGGCGATGAAATTGAACCGGTCATCAAGGTTCAGGTGCGCGCTATTACCATCGACTATCGGGTGCCAACCATCATGGATGTCCTCGGTCTCGGTGCCGATACTACTCCGCAAGACTTTGAGGCCAGTCTGGCAGCGTCTGTAGCCAACTTGGGTGATCAAGCACATCACGCTTTAACGAAAGACAACAAGCCGACAGCACCGCGTCGATCGGGCGACCTGAGCAAGTCCAACAGCAAACCCATGAAGGTGGACATTATGTCCAAGGATTGTTTAATCGGACTGAATCCCTTGAAACAGCCCTCAAAGCTATTCGTTGCCCTGACAGATGCTCACCTGGAAGTCACTCTTCCCAAAGACGGCAATACTCAAGCAACGCTCCATCTCAACAAAGCATCGCTTCTCCTCACCGACGATGTTGCGAAGGCGGCCACTGTGGACGAGCGGAACACTGAACGCCTGCGTGGAGGCGATGCTGCTTCGCAACAAGTCGCTGACCTGGCGGCGAGGGGCTATGTAAACATCTGTTTCATCTCAGCGGCAAAGGTGCTTGTGAGAGTCATCAACCCGGTTGATGGGGAAAGACGCTTGGATGTGGAGATGCGTGATGATTTACTCGTTCTTGAGACATGCGCTGACTCGACACAAACACTCATATCTCTTGCGAACGCGCTCACACCGCCGACGCCCCCAACGAAAGAGAACAAGTATCGGACCAAAGTTGTTCCAGTACAAAACCTGCTGGCATCTATTGCACCCGAGGCATTTGGCAGGGCCGAGGGCGCCTATGACTTTGACGAAGACTTTCCAATGGCACAGGGCCTCGGGAGTGACGATGAGTACGACGTAACGACTGAGTCGGGTTCGTTGTCAGCTGCTTCGCACTTATATGAAGACGAACATGTCATGGAAGAGATCTTTGACGCCGGAGGATCGGCGATCTCGATCAATTCTGCCGCCCAAGCGAGCCGTACATCTGACTCGAACTTCAACATCAGTTCGTCGGATGTCTCTGACGGAAGTGGTGATCTGGATATTGACGAGAACTACTTCACGCACCGACAAGATCTCGACAGCAAAGCCCGAATATGGAACTCGAAACAAAACAGCTACGACCAGGCACCAGCTGATCTTGTGAGACGAAGCCCACTTCGAGTCACAGTTCGCGACGTCCACGTCATCTGGCACCTTTTCGACGGCTATGACTGGGCTCGAACGCGAGATGAGATAACAAGGACAGTGGAAGAAGTCCAGACGAAGGCACTAGAACGGCGCAACGCAGGCCCTACGACCTATGAAGATGAAGAAGACGATGACACAGCTGTCATTGGAGACTATCTCTTCAACTCCATCTACATTGGCATTCCAGCCCAGTATGATCCTAGAGATCTGGCGCAGATGGTGAACGCAGACCTGAACGACAATGCCACTTATACCGAGACCGAGTCTGTGGCAACTACTGCATTTACTGGTACAGGAGCTCGAGCCGGAGGGGCACCAAGGTCCAAGAAGAGATTACGACTGGGCCGCAGCAAGCACCACAAAATCTCGTTCGAACTTCAGGGCGTGAATCTTGACCTCATCGTATTTCCTCCTGGTTCTGGAGAGACGCAAAGCTCGATTGACGTCCGAGTTCAGACTCTGGAAGTCTACGACATGGTTCCCACATCGACTTGGAAGAAGTTTGCGACGTATGACCAAGATGCGGGCGAGAGGGAAATGAACACAAGTATGGTTCGCCTCGAGCTCTTGAATGTCAAGCCGCATCGAGACCTAGCTGCGTCCGAGATGGTCCTCCGCGTCACCCTCCTGCCACTCCGCCTCCACGTTGACCAGGATGCCCTTGACTTCATCACGCGATTCTTCGAATTCAAAGACGACAAGATACCTGTACACAGCTCCCCCAGCGACGTTCCCTTCCTACAAAGGGTTGAGATTATGGACATCCCTGTCCAACTGGATTTCAAGCCAAAACGAGTCGATTACGGTGGACTCAAGTCGGGCCGGACTACAGAATTCATGAACTTTGTCATTCTGGACCAGGCGCACATGACTCTACGCCATGCCATCATCTATGGTGTGCAAGGATTCGATCGAATGGGCAAGACTCTTAACGATATATGGATGCCTGATGTCAAGAGAAATCAACTGCCTGGCGTCCTCGCTGGTTTGGCACCTGTGCGCAGTCTGGTCAATATTGGCAGCGGTTTCAAAAACTTGGTTGAGATTCCTATCAAGGAATACCAGAAGGACGGTCGAATCTTCCGTAGCCTCCAAATGGGCGCGACAGCTTTTGCACGCACCACCGGGACAGAGATGGTCAAGCTCGGCGCAAAGCTGGCGATCGGAACACAGACCGCTCTTCAAGGCGCCGAAGGGCTGCTTACCACCAGGCCGCCGACTGCCGAGGCAACGAACTGGGATGGCGACGACCCAGCCGATGCGGACGATCATCAGAAGCAGATCAGTCTATACGCAGACCAGCCTACCGGTGTGATCCAAGGATTGCGCGGCGGTTACCAGAGCTTGATGCGTGATTTGCACTCAACCCGCGATGCTATCATTGCGGTGCCGGGTGAGGTCATGGACAGCCAGAGTGCACAGGGGCTGGCTCGCGTGCTGTACAAACGAGCGCCCACAATTGTGTTCAGGCCGGCCATCGGCGCGAGCAAGGCGATCGGCAAGACACTGATAGGGGCAACGAACTCGCTTGATCCGCAGAACCGACGACGCGCTGAAGAGGTAAGCCACCACGCGAATTGCCCGAGCATTGTGGCCTATGCTAACTACTATCACAGAAATACAAGAGGCATTAGGTTTCAACATCCGTCTCAGTCGCGATGTCTGTTCATCTCTCAATCGATACCAAGACTGCCAAGCGGAAAGGGGCATCAAGTTTGACCCCGCGACGACGACACGAAACACTGGCATCATAGACGGACGAACTGGCGAAGGCGGCTTCGCTTCGTTTTCCTATGTATCTTGCATTCTGTTTTCTCACCCGAGGAGTTGACCACGCATGCTGAGCCGAACTACATGATACCCCCTAGACCTGTGCTTGGCCATGTAGGAAACATTCATCCAGGGGTGAGGTTGCGACCACTCATTGCGAACCGAGCTGAAGGAGCTTGAAGCTGTTGTCAGGATTTTGTTTTCCAACTCGATGTGATCGTTTTTGTTTCTTTAGCGAGGGCCTGGAGGCGTCCTTTTTTTTCACCTGCTGTCTTTTGTGTGGCTTCTCTGTTTTGGAATCCAAGATTGATTGTGCATGGTTCCGCGCGGCTCAGGGAAGAAAGAGAGGAAATGCAGACGCAGGTCATATCACGAAAATCTGGATAGCCACAACTCCACAGTTAGCGAGTTGGAAAAAAAAAGAACCATGTGATTGACATTTATCGTGTCCGTCAGCGAACGCCGCACGAGTAGGCTGGCATTGTCTGTTCCTTCATGCGGAAATCCTGTCTAAAATATGCCCGTCTAGAGATCGCTCCCCCCGTGTCCATGCCCATTTGTTCTCTTTCCTCATTGGCCGCCTAGGCTCTTCTCGATGGCCTCGAGGGGCTCAAGAACACTCTTCCACTGGGCCCACTCGGCGTCGCCGCCAGGGATGCCTCCGTGTAGGGGCAGGCGGGTGCCGTCAATGTCGCCGAAGCCGCGCAGGCGGCTGATGGCCTCCTTGATGCCAACAGTGCCGAACTTGACGACAATTTCCTCGACGCCGCTGACGCGGAACTGCAGAAGGCGGCGCTCGGCGGCCTCCTCGTCTGTGGGGCGGACCTTGACGGCAAGCTCATAGAGGCGAACGACGGAACGGGGGAAGAAGCCGGCCGAGCCGTCGATGGCACCGGCGGCACCAATGGACACGACGGGGAGGAGGTGCTGGCCAAGCCCGGTAAAGGTGGCGAAGGCGGTGTGATCGATGGAGGGATTCGCGGCGATGAGGGCATGGTGAGAGGCGTCGCCGTGGGAGAGCTTGCAGCCGACAATGTTGGGGTGGGCGGCGAGGATCTCGTAGGTGGAAGGGGCGACCTTGACGTTGTTGGACACGCCGGGGTAGTGGTAGATCAGGACGGGAAGAGGGCTGCGGTCAGCGACGGCGCGGAACCAGGCGATGATGCCGGACTGGTTGCTGGCGCCGGCGAAGTAGCCGGGGACGAGACAGAGGCCCCACTGGGCGCCGGCGTCGCGGGCGGCCGTCAGGTGCTCGACCGTCTCGTCGACGCCCTGGGTGGCGGTGCCGGCGATGATGGGGTAGTCGGAGAAGCCAGCCTTATCGAGGGCGGCGCGGGCGGCGGAAAGAACCTGCCCGCGTTCGGCGAGGCGCAGGTGGACGGCCTCGCCGGTCGAGCCGAGAATGACCAGGCCCTTGATGCCGGCCTGGGCGAGGTATACAGAGTGGGCAGCCTGCGTCTCGAGGTCGAGGGGAGGCGTGATGGGGTCATATGAAGCGGCGGACTTGCGGGCGAAGAAGGTGGGGACGGGGACGTAGATGCCCGGAGGCGGCGCTGCGGAGGGCATGATGGTGAAGTTCTGGTCGGATTGTCGTGGTCGTGTTGATCAGGAGTGTAGCGCAAAGGGTTGTATCCGGCTGAGGGGGTCTCGTTGTTCGTCTGGTTCGGCGGCGCAAGGTGAGAATGGGTATCGTGAGATTGTTGGGAGGAAGCAACAGGACAGTAGAATGTGGAGGGGCAGCCGCGTCTTTAGAACAAGCAGAACAGAGACCCCGCGGTCGATGGGACGTTGACGCGCCGAGGTTGGGACGCCATAATGTGGTCGCAGATGATCGTGGTCGGCAGCTCGGGGCATCATGGAGCGATCGCGCGAACCGAAGTCGTGATGTCGATCCACATGGCGTCTCAGGGTTTTGCTAGTTCTACCAGTCATCTGATTGCCCGCCCTCCTGGGCCGTTACGACCCTCGAGGCAAGACGATGGAGGGGCTACGTGCTGCAAGGTGCCAAAGGCGTGGTGGATCGGCTTCGGGATAGGGGCTAGGGCGTGCCGAGCGAGAGCGAGGTCGAAGGGGTCAGATGATTGACCAGGCTCTATATTTCGTACCTGCCCACGCGAAGACGATATGATCCATGATGTCTTGGGCCAGTGCCATATGGTTTTTGATGTTTTGGGTCCTTTCTGCTTTTCGGCGTCAGCGCTTTTGTGAGATGATGAGAGAAGGTTACTCGGCAGGCCCGATTCGCGAGGAGGAGATGCCAAGACTAATCATAAACTACTCTACCACAGAGACAGGATGGGAAAGAGCCCCCCTCCCCACCACCAGAGTCGTGGCGTCATGACCCCGCCAAAAGATGTTTATCGTAAATTCTAACACCCGTATCAGAGCGTATCGGAGCGGCAACGACGCGATGACCAGCTCACCTACCTAGGTACCTGGGCCAGGTAGGTAGAATGAGCTTCGCAAACCCCTCAACACCACACCCAGGTATCGTGGCAATCTGACTTCTTCGCCTGGCCCAGGGTTTTCTCCGAATCCTTCTCTTCGCTTCAAAGATCGCCATCATGTCTGACGGAAAGCGCGCCGTAGACTCAGACAAGGGTCAGTTTCCCTGCCCCTTCTGCTTCTCCCTCACCAGAGACATGTCTTCTGATGCTTGTTTCCTCCAGTCTTCACTGTCCTCATCACTAACTCGGCCTACCTCTCCGGCCTCTTCACACTGGACTACTCTCTGCGACAAGTCAAGTCCCAATACCCCCTCGTTGCGCTTTACACCGATACCCTAGACGATGCCGCCCACGCTGCCCTTGAGCGTCGCGGCATTGCAAAGCAGCGGATCGACTATCTCCTGCCCACCAAGGGCAAAGATTACTCCAACGACCCGCGCTTTTACGACTGCTGGTCCAAATTGACGCCTTTCTCCCTAACACAGTATTCCCGTGTCGTTCAGCTCGACGCCGACATGCTCGTTCGTCAGAACATTGACGACCTCATGACCCTGCCTCTCGATGCTCCCGAGATTGCCGCCCAAGGCAACACCGTCACGGCCCCAAGCACCAGAGTCTTCGCAGCCGGACACGCCTGCGTCTGCAACCCGCTCAAGAAGCCGCACTATCCCAAGGACTGGATTCCCTCGCACTGCGCCTTCACCACCCAGCACGGCGCCCGCGCCGAAGCCCAAACCGTCGCGCCGCCCCCCGACGCCAGCCCCCTCGGCTACATGAATGGCGGCCTCCAGGTCGTCAATCCGAGCAATGACATTTATGCCCAAATTGTCGCCTACATGGAGACCGACGCCGCGAACATGGACTTTGCCGACCAGAGCTTGCTCAGCGACCTCTTCCGCGGCCGCTGGGTGTCGCTACCCTATGTCTACAACGCCCTCAAGACATTGCGTTGGCCTGGCGTTCACGACGCCATCTGGAGCGACGACGACGTCAAGGTTGTCCACTACATCCTCGCCCCCAAGCCCTGGGATGAGCGGGCACAGGACGGTACCTGGACGAACGCGGGCAAGCCCGAAGACCAGGAGACGCACAAGTGGTGGGGCAACGCTGACGGCGAGAGGAGGAGGCAAGAAAAAGCCAACGGCATTGACGACGGCTTCTGACAGACGTAGCCGAATTGATCTTCATGAGGACCGCTAGAAGAACGCATCGCCGCCTCGGCGCGTATGCAGAAATTCCGATGCCCAGCATGCAATTTGGTGGAACCCGCAGGACACGATATCCAGTGTTGGCAGAGCGGGACGAAATCCTGTATGATGATGAATCATGATGAAGGATATCGAATGGCAACCGTTCAGAAGCGTTACATGGCATTATATTGATTCTGCAATCCGCGGCTGAAATTCTTGGGGACAAGAATCACACTCTGCCTGCAGCCGATGTGGCCTACCAAGATTGCTGTGCACGCCCCCCCTGTACAATGTCGATCCGCTACTCCCTCCGATCTTGAACCTTGTCGTCCTCGCAGTTCAGACGCTGCCAGCCATTAAAGTTTAACGCGGCACGGTCGGATCAGCTTCCGACCCAGATGATATCCCTTCTTTAGAAACGAGGCCAGAGCTAAAAAATCTTGGCGGTGACCGGATGGTGGGAATGTTACCTTCATGCTTCCTCACCGGTCACCTCGCGATATGCCTCTTCGGTCCCGACCACCACAGTCTCCATCGATCATGCTACAAGGAAGGATATGGACGTGTCATAGACGCTACCTACCTGTGTACCCCTGATACCAACACGAGCGCGGAAACCGTGCACTCAGCGCGGAATGCACGACGCTGGACCCCGGCCTCGTTATCCTAATCCGCTTCAGCCGCGCCGGCATACTCTTCTTAGCATCCTGATCTGTATCACCAACACACAGCCGCCTGTCCCGACGGCGACGACCCTGTTCCACACAGTCCCGTGAATTCCGGGCCGCAAGCCTTCAGACCCCTTCTCGCCCCTCCTTCGTGATCCTTCCCCCACCCCTCGCCGCGCCCGGTCTCACAGAGGGTCACCGTCTGTGGACCGCCACCACTGCGCCGGAGATGTTGGGCTGGGTCCGTTGTGCGTCTCTTGCCGCGTATGCATGAGCCACACACCGGGCAGGTGGCCTCTCCTTCTCCCCACGCTTCTTGGCAATCTTCATACGAGATCCCGACGCATGCACACGCGGGACGAGGGAATCTCTGGTGCCTCCAATCGGAGAGACCGGCGCTCGTTCTGAGCCCAGACAAACTCTCAGAGCGGTATTCACTTCGTGTCACAGTGGCAAGTGGTGTGAGTGCGTGCATCAACGGGATGATCGATATACCGTGGTATTCACTGCCTAGCAGACCTCAATGGCTGTACGCCTGCGTGTCCCCTCCTTTGTACGC